AAGCACTGTTTTAGCTACATCCCACAAATTTTGACATACTAATTTCCTTTGTGATTTCTTCATCGACCCATGAGTTATTTAGAAGTATATTATTTAACCTGCAGATATTTAGAGATTTTCTAACCCTTTTTCTGTTATTAATTTCTACTTTAATTCTCTTATGAATAGAGAGCATATTTTTTATTAATTCAGTCCTCTTGATGTGTGGCCCAGAATATGGTCTCCTTAAGAGAATGTTGTGTGTGTACTTGAAAAGAATGTGAAATCTACTGTTATTAGATGGAGTGTTCCATAAATGTCAATTAGGTTATGTTGGTTGATCGTGCTGTCCTAGTTCTTATATCTTTATTGATTTTTCTTACTGTTCACTCTGTCAGTTACTGGGAAAGAAAGAGTGTTAAAATCTCCAACTGCAAAAGTGTATTTGCCTGGGAGGCCAAGGTGGGAGTATCACTTGAGGTCAGGAGTTCAGATTGCCTGAGCAAGAGTGAGACCCCGTCTCTACAAAAAAATAGAAAAATTAGCCAGGCATGGTGGTGTGTGCCTGTAGTCCTAGCTGCTCAGGAGGCTGAGGCAGGGGGATTGCTTGAGCCCAGGAGTTTGAGGTTGCTGTGAGCTATGATGACACCACTGCACTCTAGCCAGGGTGACAGGGCAAGATTTTGTCTCAAAAAAAAAAAAAAAAAGTGTATTTGCCTATTTCTCATTTAATTCCACCATTGTTTCCTTCATGTATTTTGAGTCTCTGTTAATAGATGAATAAATGTTTATGATTATATTTTAGGTGAATTCATTATGAGATCCCTCTTTATCCCTGTTAATATTCCTTATTCTGGAATCTACTCTGTGAGTGTTTAATTTAGCCCTTCTGGCTGTCTTTTGATCAATCTTTTTGTGCCATATATTTTTCTATCTTTTTACTTTTACTCTACCTATATGTAGTCTTTATGTTTAAGGGGGGCTTCTTGTTGACAGCATGTAATTGGTTCCTGTTTTTATGTAATTTGACAAGCTCTGCCTTTTAATTAGAGTGTTTAGACCATTTGCACTTAGAATGATTACCAATATACTTGGTTTTAAATTTGCCATCTTGCTGTTGGTTTTTTGTCTGTCTCATTGATTCTTTGTTTCTTCTTTTCTCCTTTCTTGCCTTCTTTTGGATTTAGGATTTTTCATAATTCCATTTTATCTCTACTATTGGCTAATTAGCTATATTCTTTGTTTTAGTATTTTAGTGGTTGCTTTAGGATTTACAATAAATATTGTTAATTGACAATAGTCTACCTTCAAATAATAGTATACCACTTCATACATAGAGTAAGAACCTTCCTTAAAAGGGTATACTTCCATTCTGCCTGCTATTCCTTTGTGCTATTCTTTCCAACATTTTAATTCTACATATATACTCCATAATTTGTTACTGCTTTTGCTTTAAGTGATCAATTACTGTTTTTAAGGAAATTTAAAAATGACCCCAACTTTTATTTTATATTTTCTTTTTTTCCAAGAGAAACTGGAAATACGGATTTTTATTTGATACTACCTGGGTTTTAAAAAACTGCAGGCCATTCAAAATGGATCAACAACCTAAATTTAAGAGCTAAAACTGTAAAACTCTTAGAAGAAAACATAGGGGTAAATCTTCGACTTGGAGCTGGCAATGGATTTTTAGAATTAACACCAAAAGCACAAACAATAAAATAAAACATTGATAAATTTCACTTCATAAAAATTAAGAACTTTGGACAACAAGGACATTGTCAAGAATGTCAAAAGACAATCTATAGAATGGAAGAAAA